TGTTACAGATGTTCAAAGTTGTTAAGTATTTAGATAACTAACAGATTTTAATAGTACTCTATTACAACTGAATATATTTTTAAGATATCATGGTTTAATGATATTTGTAACTTCTATGTCCCCCTGAAAATGAAATGTATAGCATTATATTGTGTTATTTTGTCACATTTTAATTCAAAACTAATTTTAAAATTATACATAAAATACTTACTGATGCGCGTATAATTCATTGTATAGAAAAGTATCATACTTATAACAGCAACTTGATACACTGGACTCATGTTTGCCTTTCTAGGTTGTATATATTTCAAATTCCAACGCCAATAAGCTGTAATTTTATAATTCATTTTTTTAAATACTTATTACACTGCAGAAAAAACTGATTTTTATTTTTGCTCCATGTTAAATCATATTTAACGAAAGCAATGAAGTAATCGCTTTTCCAAATGTATTTAAATGCATAAAAATTATTTCATTTTTTCTAATAATATTATCACACATTTTACTAAAATGCGCTAAGTTATAACGAAAGTGTTATGTAATTTTTAAGTTTGGTAAGGGCATTTTACTTGATAAAATATATACCTCGGGAAAATAACCCTAATAATTTTCCAAGTCCTTTTTCACGTCGCCAAAGCCATGCTGGTAATTCACGAATTTTGACATCGCCAAATGGTGTATCAGCTATAAAAATACATAAATTTTATTGTCATAAATTCACTTACAATTAAATGAATACTCGCGGTATAACTTACGTGTGCCGTAATATCGAGAAGGATCGAATGGACCGTGCTTTGTTGGATCATATCCTTTCGGATAATTGCCCAGTTTGTCCCACTGAAGTATAGAAGATATCATTGACGATATTGGGTGCGACATTTTGCTACAATTAAATTGCTTGTTCAGAAAATTGTAGCGAATGTGTCTCCAGAAACGATAAAATACTGTCGTCTATCGATTATTCCGGACACATGATGCACAATTTAAAAAAATGAAAATCCCTAGTTAAGTGGGCTACAGTACCATAGAGAATTTTGCACTAGTGATTTAAAAATTTTGATTGGTAACTATATCTTATAATTTAAAACCCGTAGTTTGTCGAGTACATGTTTATGTTTAATAATTTACATTGATTTAAAAAGTGCAATTTACTCTATGGAACAACTTATTGCAATATATATTTATACCAACATTAGTAACGTTTGATGATTTATATCTTGTGGTTTTTGAATTTTTGTGGGAAAAATGTCAAGTACAGACAATGTAAGGCAATAATTATTTATTTTCAAATAAAACATTCAGTATCTTCCAACTAAAACGAAATGACAAATAACATGTACAGAAATTATATTTCATTGGAAATTGTTCAATACTACGTACTGCTGATTAATCTTAAACTGTAATATTAAATTTATAATTAAATTCGTACATACAGTATTCGTATTACTGCGATTATAAAAATTTCGATAACAAAGAATCAAGGGACAATTCAGCAATACACACCTTAAACGATATTATTAATTATTATAATTAAGTTATTAAATTCGTATCTGGTACTTAACAAGTATTTAAGCCGTACACACGAATACTAAAAATAATAATATTTTTATATCTTCGTCTTCTATCTAAGCGTATCGAATTTTCAATTGAAAGTATAGAAGTAAGGCTACAATTACGTGTAAGGTAGTTCGTATTTTTGTGCTCGTTGTTGATAATGTTGCTTTTTACGATTTCTAACCTTATTACTATCACTAGCCTCTAGTGGTCACTTATTCCTTTATATTTTCGCAGTACAAAGGTTGCTCGTTTGTCGTCTCCTTACATGCATAGAAAGTTAGAAATTTCGCGATTGCTTTGAATTCAATCAATATTCGATTCGAGGATTTCGCGTTTCACGCAGAGTACTGCGTTCTTATTAGCTTTCAAGCTGAACGTAAATCAATTTCCAAGGCTGAGGTGATAATGAAGCTTAACGAACAGCAGCACTGTAACTATTGGAAGTCAGCTGTTTAGAGGTTTCTGCTTTAATCCGTAAAAGGATGTCGAACATAGCAGGCAACTATGCGAATTAACTTTAACTTTGTTTCGTTCGTGTATATTATAATACTTTCGTAAAATATTTACTGTGTCATATTCTAAACAATTCAAACGAAAGAAAACTTATCACTACGAATATATTTAATTATTGTATAGGCAATAGGTATAAGAAAGATGTTGGAATTTCGTATTACAAACAATTACTAACTTTTCTGGCACTCATAATCGTTCGAAATAAGTACGAGTAGTGTTGTATCCCAAACAGCGTATTAAATTGAAAAATCGAATGTATATGTTTTTCAAGAAGTCGTCGGAATCTTGAAAGAGGAATCGTTAAAAATAGTTCTCCTTTTTTTTTTTTCAATTCTATTCGTCATGGATGTATGTTAACACGTGGAATATGTTCGAATGATTCTCTTGAAAAATTGTAACAAAATCGATTCTATTGTTCAAACATAAAAGTTTGACTCTACCTTTTCTTCTTCTTTCCTCGTACATTTCACAAGAAACTCACATTTACCGCGCTCTTTCTATCGGTATTAAAATGAGCGCGGACCTCTTACAAAGTAAAATCATGGATGTACTGAAATTCTTCTCGATTCTATCAATTGCCAACATTTCTTTACAATAAAATTCCTATAAATTTCAACAGTCATTCTCCTTAACATCATGCAGCGTTTCGATTCAATACACTTTCCCCACTTCGTGAAAATCTCTCTGTAGTCCTACATGAACTGGAACGCGTCTACACGGAAGCAAAAACCTCTTGTTCCATTTCGTGCAGCATATTGTATAATCGTGTCTTCAAATTGTCCGGCACCGCAGCACGTGGCAAATGCTCGATGTCACCGGCTGGATTTGCGCATTGTCGTAAAAGAACCGCCAGTGTGCTGGTGGTATGCTCCGACATGAGTAGTCCAGGAATTATGATAGTTCCTGAGAGGGTCCAGCCGAGAAATATCTTCTCGCACACGACCTGAAATTTTATAAACGTTCGTTAATAAATTTGCATGGAAGAATAAAGCGTGACATTGATACGTTAAGTTTTTGTTTCATTCTGTTTAGTTTGTTTAATTTGTTGAAAATAGATATACTTATTTATACTAATTTCTGTTCTTTTGCAGTTGAAGATACGTAGCGGAGAAATTTTGAATTATCTGGTAAATGAACGTTGTCACAAGCCTTGAGATTCGATTAATTCGTAGAATTACAAGGGAAAAAGAGGAGGTATTGGTTGATCGCTCTCCCTGATTTTAATTTCTACGTGTATCGCGAAACGGTAATTCTGCAGCATCACATTTCTGGCAAGAGTAATATCTTCCCATTGACCTTAATTTTCAGGTCCGGTTAATTCATAATCCGGCCAATCTATCTCTGAATAATTGGAAGTTCACCGTGAGTAATTTTCACGAGGCAGGCAATTGTAGCTAATTCGCAGAAACTTAACACTTCAATTTTAAATGTTATCCTAAGCAATTAGAGAAGTACGTCTCTGTAGAGAGGAAGAGGAATAATACCGCGGTGTTGGTGCAGCAACATTTTATCGGGTGCCTAACTATAACCACAGAGATAAAGTTACTCAAAAAATGGACGATCTTCCAATTACTCAGAACAGTGCATCAGAAACCTTATACGATGCAGCGTATAATCTCTTGGATCTATACTTCACGCCGATCGACTCCTCTTCTTACACACAGCCGTTTCTATTCAATTTCGAATTTCGCTAAAATACGAAACTTCGCCTTTCAATGTCCTAATCATTTTCAGATGAACGAGCAAGATTCCACTTCCTTCGTCGTAGATGTTCAACGAGAGAAACACAAGTGATTCGGAAAATTACTTGTAGATTGTTGTTGGCGACAGGTGACTCGCATCGTTTGTTCTTGGAACAGAAGGATCTACAGTCGAAGTAGTCGCAGTCCTCATGTTTCTCACAGCTCTTCCTGTCAGCCGTGATACGGCTGATAATCGTTTTAGGAAACACCGCGTCCAGGTCGAGGAACTTGAGTTTCTGTCCGCCGAGGGGCAAACCGAAATGGTTTATCTTCACGTCGCACAGATGAATTGGCTCGGGGAAGTTGGTGTCGAGTTCCTCGAGCAGGTCCAGAATCATCACGGCCAGCTTCAATCGTTTCGCCCATTCTGGCTTCGAATCGGATAGAGCGAGGATTGTCGTCGGTGTTTCAATAGGTCGGACGTACTCGACAGCGTAGAAGGTTCCGCATGTGCCAATCAACTGTGGAAAAATGTCCCTGTCCTCGTACAGGATGCTCATCAAGTACTCGTTCTCCTGCAACAGCGGCCACAGATTTTCCATCTCGAGCTGTCGCCTACTGGGCTCGGTCTCGACGCGATGCGTACGAAGTCGCGCCAGCCTCTCTAATTGATGCTGCGACAGCGTCACGTTCAGCTTGCTAACGACCAGATCTTTGATCATGGTGTTGAAGTCTGTCTCGGATGGGAAATGCTTTGCGCCGGCCACATCCGTCCAGAACAACGACTCGAACTCCTCCGCCGGTGTCTTCGTTCTGAAATCGAAACCCGTAGGGATTTTTTGAAATTGTGTTTCGTTCGTTTAAGTGACGACTCGTGACATGTCGAATAGGGTTTGTTTGAATTAGAATGACTGGTTGATTTTTCATATTTTTTTTTTTTTTTGTTGAGGGAATGTGAGGATCTTTGATTGCGGTTGGATGAAGGGATAGTTTGGTACTAAGAGGTATTAGGATTCGGAAGTGTGTTATTGGCTTTTTCAAATTTTGAAATTAATAACTGTTGGAAGTAATTTTTCAGTTGTCGGGGAATGTATGTTGGTCATTTTCTAATGTTTCAAAGTTTTGTAGAATTGAACATATTTTTGCGATTGTTTTGCACAGTATTTCGGGAATTATCGAATATCTGAGAATTTCTTAAAATTGGAAGTAATTTCTCATAGTATTTTAAGAATTTCCCAATTTTAAGTCATTTCTTGGAATATTTTAAGAACTTTCCAGTTTTATTTAATTTCTCGTAGTATTTTAAGAATTCCTCGAGTTTAAGTAATTTCTCATAGTATTCTAAGAATTCCCAAATTTTATTTAATTCCTCATAGTATTCGAAGAATTTTCCCAATTCTCGAAAATTTTTCCGAATTAGACGCAACATTGTAACTTCTGTCTACGTAATATAATGTTTTAGGAGAAAGGATAATGAACCTTGAAGCCTTGAACACAAGTCGAGTTGTCTCCCAGTGGGCCGAAAACACCGCTTCTTTGCCGGCATGCAGCGTTTCGCATGCAAGCGAGTGAATCCCTCTTTCTGCGCATAGCGGGTCGCAGAGAATTCCTATTGCAGTCCCTTTTTTGTGCGTGCTGCACTGAAATGAAAATTATGATCAGGTACCGTAAGAGTAACGTTCACATCGTAAAAGTTTGGTACAAGGGATGCGATCGAATTATCACAAACTTCTCTTCCCTCTCTGAAATTCTGACAGTTTTTATAACGTGTTCTTATTGCACGGCTTCTTAATACTATACGATGTTCTCTTTCTCATTCTTTATTTTTCTTTGATTTACAGTATTTTTACGAGCATCCTTTCGGCAAGGGAGTTACGTAAAACGTCAAACTGAGACAGGGAACTTTTAAAGCAGTTTTACGACACAGGGCGAAACGTCTAGCGAATCAGACCTCGCCACTTTCCAAGTAACGTCCTTTAAAATATTATTTATTGCACATTTATTATTTGCATCATACTTGCTGGTAGTTCGTCATTACGTTTAACAATATATTGCTTTAATGCATGTAAAGTATTGGTGAAAATGTGTTAGAAACCACCTTTTCTTCTATGTTCAACATGTTTACCTACTTCTTTTCAGTTCAACATATTTAAAGGTTTGTATTTTAATCTGCTTGAAAATATTGAGCTACTATTTACGTCATTTTTATTATTCGTGAATACAATTTACGAATAATCGAGGCTGCATCAAATTTGTCTGCTCTCATAAAGAGATTTTACAGTTAAACATCTAATTGATTGATTCTAAGATCCTGCAAATTTTACTTAAACGTTTCACCTCGTCAATTGAAATTTTCCTATTTAATCGTCGAAACGATCTCTCGAGAGTTGCACAGTGATCCGGAAATACTCCGAACGAGTACCGATATCTCGTGCAATCCGAACTGACATCGTTACAAAAGGAGAAGGAAAAAAGCAAATCTCCCTTCTATCTCGTTACCTGCGATTTTACATTCGAATAAAATTCCCTGTACACGTGAAACAGATTGCTAAAGAAGAGAAGCTATTGCCATGGAAAAGCTGTTTCTCTAAAAGAATACATAAAATGGTTGGGCGCAACGCGTGTTGTCTTCTGTTCCTCAATGAAATCGAACAACTTTCATTCAGGATGCTAGCACTCGCCTCGATGTGACAGATATTCGAATTGGCCAGAGGCTGATCCGTGGCTGAGTGTAAAAGTCACACGGTTTAAGAGATAGTCTAGCCGCGAAAAGCGTCTCGGTTAGGTTTAAGCACCGTATAAGTTTCTCTTCTTACGTTCGTCGCGAACGCGAGAAAACGGATTCCCGCGCGTTTAGAATCTACACCTACGAGAGACGTTACGTTCTTCGTTATGTATTTCGTTCTAGAACCCGTTCTAGAATGAAGTAAGGTTATTGTGAGAATTCAAGGGGCATCCATAAACAGAATGAAGGGATATCGAGAGACTTTGGCCAGGTAATGGGTTAGTCTTCTCTTTCAGCCACGTATACACGTGATATACAGGGTGGGTTGACGTGGCTGGGTATTTTGACCCTTTCGTTGCGGCTGATTTTGGTACGTAGGGCGCGTGGCAGATGCGGATGTTCCATTAGGGCGGTAAAGTGTTTTCTTTTGGTCGTTTTAAAATTTGTTTTATCGAGGATTAAGGGGGAACTTTGATTTTAACTGGAGGAAAAATTAAGGTGAAAGTGTGCCAAAAGGCAAAAATATTTGAAACGCCTATAGGCGCCAAGGTCACAGCGCGAGCGAAGCTTCGAAGCGTCTTTAGGTTCTGATAGCAATGAAAGGATTAAGAATTTCTTTGTTTTTCTTTTTTAAATTGCTGAAACAGTGTATTCAGGGAGACGTTTTTCATTTATTGGAGTCAATTGAAACATTTTTAGCCAATTTTGTATGTTGAATTTTGAAGTAATGTTCCATAAGTGTCATAGAATAATGTGATTGTATATTTGGAATAGAAGTATCAACAGAAAAAGATATACTTATAGGTGTGCTATTAAAAAAGCATGGCATCTGTGTCAAAAATGAAACAGTTTCAAAATATAGATTTGTCTTTGGAGAGAAATTAGTGAAAGTAATAATAACTTGCGAAGTTTAGTGCACTTAACAAAAGTTGAGTCGATGAGAATTACATGTATGATGGCAAAAGAAAAAAGAAAATTGCATTCATAGAATTTACATTTTTACAGTGTTTGAAATAGGCGACAATAATATTTTCAAATCACAGTGATTTACTTTCCTTTCACGAGTACGATATTTATTTATTTTTTTTTTGCACGCCGTTGATAATTGACGTTTTCCACGTTTGCACACCCTATATATACGCGTGCAATACAAGAAGGCGCGATAAATTGTCCATTCACAAACGAACTTTCAAGGCATTTGCAACACTGCTCGACGTAAACGAAGGTTACTACGGGAACTCGTTTATGAACGACAGCGTGATTGATGGTAATATCACCGAATATCTGTTTTACCATGATATGATCAATTATACGTGTGATCGGGAATATTAACTTCGTACGTTCATCAGAGATTCGATTACATTGATTTGACAGTTCACCTGGTAGACCATTAAACGTGTTTGGCAGAGTCTTTATTCAGTCACTCGCAAAATTTCATTCAGTTACGACACTTTGTGCTGTTTTTATATTTTAAACATACGTACAATGTCGAAGAATTCTAAAAATTTCCTAATTAGTATTTTAAGTAAAATATTTGAAAATATCGATTTCTCTTTTTTAAGAGAAACTAGTAAGAGCGATATTTAAAGCATAATTAATATTAGTACGTGTAGTTAAACTTTGATTGTTATTTTTATTCTAAACCATAAAAATTGAGGAGATAAAAAAATCTCGTTAAAATGGGAATTTTAATTTTCGTTATTACGAATAGCCTGCAAACGAAGTTAAAAGGAAATTAAAGTATAAAATAATTAAATACCGATAATCATGGAATCTGTTCAGTCAATCTATACTATTCACTTAATACCAACATCGTTATCATCTTACACAACTTCTCAAAAAGGAAAAAAATTTGTACGTTTCGCGATCTCTCCTCCACATTCACGCGTACTACTTTTCACCTCCTACTTCAAGCTCACAGAGAAAGAAGCGCTAATCCTTATCGTCGTCCCACATTCACGAGTACGACACCACTCGAGGAACGCGCGACTGGAAGAAGACTCTCGTTCGCCGTGTGTTAAAACGAATTATTACAGAACCACCGACGAAGCACCTATAGATCACTTGCGTTGCACGCATCTTTGAGATGTAGGTTAAAAAGGAGGGTGAAACAAAAGGTGGTTTTAATTAAAATAAAAGTAATTTCGTGGGTGGGATATAACCTGCAAAGTTGTGTCGTCGAAATTTCGTACGTTCGATCGGTAGGATATTCTTTGCATCGAGCCAGAATGAGAGCAATAAAAGTGAATTATTCTCATGCCGCGTGGGCGGTGCTTGCGTTACGTACAGGCACGCGTGTATTCGCACACGTAGCCCGCGGTCTCGCGTGCGTGCAATGCTCGTCTGGATCCTTACGTACTGTAGAGAGACTGTGCACGCGATATTTTTAGTCGACGTGACCGCCATGATGAGAGAGGGTTTTCTCGAGTAGAGGCGGAGACCCCCATAACATGCGTGTCACGTGCCTTTATGCACCGTAACGTCCGTGTAACTTATCGGATGTGCTTTTCGAAAGCCATCGCTTTTATCCGGGCCACGTTTAGTATCTGTCGAACAGTTGGTCGAAGTTGCACGTCTTTCTCGCGGGATTTCTGATGTAGCAAAATAACCGGAGGAAACGTTAAGGTTAGCTTTGTCCCCAGGCATAATTGGCGGTAGTTACGATTAAGTTAGGTTAGGTTAGGTATCTCGGGAGTTTCGTGAAATTCTTTTCTGTCAAAGAGCCCCTTGAATGCCACTGGAGGAAATCACGAACGATTCCTTGGGGAATTTTTCGTGGAATTCTTTTTAGATGGACTTGAATATTTTATTTAGTATTTTAAATGGTAAAAATGTTAATAAAGCGATTTGTAAGATAAGTTTGTGTCGAACTTGAAGTTTTTTGTTATTTATTATAGGTGGAGAATGTTTTTGTAGGTATCAAGGTTGAAAATATGAATTTTGTCTGAATAGCTTGAAAGATTCCATCAGAATGTTGAGATTAAAAAGTAAATTTAGTATAGCTAGTTCGTGTTGACTATCTCGAGCGACCTTAAGTGATTCGTAGTGATTCATGATACATTCGTTTGAAGATATATCAATGTTGCAAAACAAAATACGGTTGTTGAGCGTGTAATATCGCAGAGCTTAAATTACTCAGTAATGTGTACGATTAGAGTTTTTATTATATCATATTAATTTATTTGTAGTATTTGTTCAATGTTGCAAGGGGAACAACACTAAGCCAGAGATAATTTAGTAAGAGAAGTGTCCAGTGGCATTTTTTCGTGACCTCGCGTGCGTTGGATAATGTATTACGTAAACGGTTCCGTTCTTAATATTCCAGCACGACAGTGCTGGTTTGAATGTAATGAGTAGTGACACTAAGCTTAGCATTCGATGCTTCGTCACATTGATGCAACAAATTGAATTTATAACCACGTTCGAGGAATTTTTTCTACAGCCAAGGAATGTTAATCCACTCATAATCAGCCAATTATTCGGTCGTAGAAAGTTGTGAACGATCTTAGCAGGTGTACGACACATTCTGAATGGTAAAATTATATGCAAAGTGCAAGTAAATAAGTGAGATTTTGAAGTTTCTTAAAAGGTATTAATATTGATCGTAAGAAGAGAATAACTGAACGCAATTGATATTGTCAGATTAACCGGCACTGCAAACGAACTTTGATATCTTTGGAAGGCAGATAATATTAAATTCCATTGCAACTATATGAGGAAAACGTTAATCCACTTATAGCAAGTATATACATACAAATCCCTTAAGTTCTACTCAGGTGTGAAATTTGTCAAAGGATCGTATTAGCTGCACAAAGAACGGATTAAACTGCTGGCAAATTGTAATAGAGTCGAAGAATTTTTCAACGTTGAATGAAACTGACGATATTTCGTAATTGCAAACGCTTTGTACGAGAATATTGGAAGAGCGAGCAAATGCATTCTTCATTACGACATGCGACATTAAACACAGAATAAAACGTTATTCCACTGTACAATTTCAATTGTTTCCCATAAAAATTCTGAATAAAGAACAAGAAGATTCCGCAGATTATTTCCACCATTCGTTAGGAATTTGACAGGCCGGAAGAATTTCCTTTTGCAACAGCCTATTTACAGAAAATTCCCAGAAAACGAGGCACAGTCACGGTAAAGTAAATAGACGAATCTGCAGAGGACGTTACCCCCTCTGCCGAAGCGACTGGCGGAAAAGACCGAAAATCTACGTTGTTTCAGCATGGTGTGCGCACATAGACTCAGGATCGGTCACGAAGTTGCTCTATGTGAAGTAGTCAGACTACGCCTACTTGTGCAACGATCTTGTGGGTAGGATACTGTATGAATGTACTAGCGATCGACAGGCATAAGAGTGAGAACTATGCTTCGAAGTAGGCACGTACTGGAAAAAGTAACCGATATACGATGGTACGAAACGTCTCGCGAACGTACCAACACATGCTTATTATCTACGAGCCTACAACTCCCACCACTACCGTTATTCCCCACTCTATTTACGAATTTTCGACGTCACTTGCTTCGGCCACTGCTCCCGGCTTTGCTCGGAGAAACAAGGAGCGCTTTTGCTCCTGAAACGGCTGCCTGAGCGTCTGAGGTATGTCATAGACGCTTTACGGCGGACGTATAGAAGACGAGCAAGAACAGCAACATAAACACAGATGCATGTACGCACCACAGTTTGGTTTCGAGTTTCGTAGGTATGTACACGCGTGAATTTGGCACAGTACCGTGGCTCAGTCCGTTTTGTGCACGCTGTAAAGGCGCGTGCGTGCCCGTCTCAACGTCCCCTTTCTCTACCCACGTTTGGTTTTCACCCCTAGCGCGGTCTGTGTGTACGCGCCTCTAACATGCTGTCTCTCGTTGTGTGTCGTGTGACAGTGTCGAGATTCTGTGGTTGCCTGTGTTAACGTTCAAAAGGACTCACCACGTTGGATACGTGCCGCCAAGCCTCGAGGTTCGTGCACATAATACCCCAGTGAAGGAGTAGATAGATGACGAGGAGAAAAGTCGAGAAGAGGAACAGCGTGATCACTCTGTAGTGGTACATGAAACCGGGTAGTCGTCGGACGTTCATGATTCGTGGACTTCTTCTGCCTCGGGTGAATCGACGAATATTTATTACCAAGGAGACGACAAGTTCCCCCTTTTTTTTTATTTTGTTTCTTTTTTGCTTCGTTTAACAGAATCCGCGTTGCGTGGTTGTTCACTCCTTTAATGCTCGTTTCTTACCAACCGAATCGTCGTCGACGTCCGCGACGGCGCATCGTGAGGGCGCCTTGTGCTTAATCTCCTCGCGATCTGTTCATCCGCTTGATTTCTCGTGTTTTGTCTCGACGACGCGATCGTCGGCCGACCGGTGCCGTACGCTTGTGGCAATGCGGCATAATCTGCGGCACATGCGAGCGTCGCGACGCCGCGCCTCTCGCGGCGGATCTCCCCGATAGTGTCTGTTGCGCAGGTCCGCATGCATTTAGAACCGTCTACGGAAAAATTCGAATTTCGCTCGATCGCTATTCGCACGGCGCCCTTTCGTGAACGATCGTTTCGTACAGCCGGTGATTTAACATGCACAAAAGAGATAGAGAAGGAGAGAGAAAGGGAGTGGGGGAAGGGTAAGTGAGAGTAGAGGTTAGATTGGCGAAGAGGTTATTTCATAAATGACTTCAATTCGATGGTTTTAATTTGAGGTTAATATAAATTCTTTGACGATATATGTAGTTTGTATTGCTGTGAAAGTAGGCTGTTTTCTTGTATCGTTTGTTTGTTTGTTTGTACAGATTTTGTGGAAAGATTCATTCAAGTGTTACTTCAGGTTGTTCGACATACTGTGAGTCACGAAAATATTTGAACAGTAAAGAGTACGTTTGACCAACGCTGTGTATCTTTGTTTATTATGGAGGGACTGAACTCGAATTTGTTTTTAACGATAAGGTATTTGTTGTGTTTTACTAATGTGTACAATTGACTCAGCTAATTTGAAATAATTAAACAATATTAAATGTTAAATGAGATAAATCATAACCAATTTTCGGGTTACAAAGATATTTGGACATATTCTGTTTCTCAGTTTATTTACAAATATTACTTGACAAATTTCGAAGGCACTTCTGTGTCGAATGTTTTCAAACACACTATATACATCAAATTTAATTCTAAGCAGTCAATTTTACCGTGTTAATTAGTCGTTATACCGTTGTTGTTTGAAAATATATCGCAAAAGTAATAACGATTCACTTAGTTATATAGAAAGGTGAGAATCGATCTGTTTGGAACGTGGTGTATGTCGAAATCTAGTGTGCATTGTCTGAAATAAATCGACTCGTATGTACCTACGATAAAGTAGTTTTTTCATTCTAGATTTAAGCGAATTGTACATATATATGGTTGTGTCAGTTGTTGCAAATCAAGAGATTTAAGAGATTTCATTCATATTCCAATTCGTCACAGTTAACATTCCCACCGAAAAGATTAGCTTTTTAACAGTGCACACTCTCATTATACTTCCGCGATTTACAGTTGCGTAACAATATATCTGCGTTGAATTGAATTGAAGTACTGCAAAGGAGTACTCGCATTGTTTTCTTCAAATTGCTTCTAAAGAAGATTAGTCCAATGGAGGTTTCACATTCACGCACGACGTCCTATTTGCAACTGCTCTGCGATGGTTTGCCGCTGTAGAAATTTTTTGCTGGCTCATCATTATCGTTCACGTGTGTGTGTGCACACTTCAGCTTTGCGATGGTGTGGGCTTATTTCAAACGAACCAGGAGAGCTTTTAATTTGAGGTCCAGCTGGTGCTGCCTCCTTTGCCGGGTTGTGGGATAGATGTAACAGCGGTTAAAATCTTGCGATCAATGATGCAATCAGTTCGAAATTCTTCGCCCATTTGAATTTGAAAAAATTTTTACCTACGTTATTTAGAAGATTCTAAATAAACAATCTAAATTCAAAATATGAAAATTTTTTTTCATTTATCATGTTCAAAATTGAAAAATATTAGTTTAGCAGTTGCAATATTTAATTCTCGTATATTTTCTCTTATCGTACCATTAGTAAGCTTAAACAAAATCGACATAAATTCAGCAAATACTAAGCTATTAAAAAATAAGTAAAACAAAAAACCGGGTAACTCTGGAGAAAAGTTCATTCTCCTATTCTAATAAAATCCAATATAACTGAAAACTTTTAGGAAAACCTCGCATATTACATAAATACATTTTCCACTATCGATTTCACTATTAAAACTCGTTTTATACCCTCGATTTAACCTACCAGTCGAAGTTCCAAAAGCTACCCTATCACTTGAAATCCTGAAATATACATCCTCCCATTATTTTCTCTATCGTTCCCCACTCCACAAACCTGATCCGAGTCACAAAACATTTAGAGACCCCTCGTCGTCATCGATCTCACCAATTACACTCCCATTTATAAGTATTAGTGCATTTAATAAACGTGATGCAAACCTAAACATTCATCTCGTAATATAACGAACACATACATTTCTCTTCATATGTGATATTAAATCTGGTGAAGAAATGTAATTTAACCTTTTAACTGCAGACCACTCTTTTCAGAGACGAGTCCGAATTGTTATTTCACTATCACAACTGCATACATATGTATGTGGAGACTTTTAAAAGCTCTAGCGTTTGAGTAGTTTCAATTGATAGCAGATGGTTCATTATTTCTAAAAAAAAATTCAAAATTTTTATATAACGTTATAAATATACTGCTTTTTTTTTAAAAATATGGTAAACTTTAATTATTAGAAATATACTATTTTGAAAAAATATGGCAAAAAACATTAACAAACACATAATATCATTAAATAAAATAGTTACATTACATTTATTTTTGCAACACAGTGATTTAATAAATAAAATAGCCAAAGTAGTCTGTGACTACATAGTAGTTTATGATAACGTTGTGAATACCTTAGGGGTTAAATCGTCTAATACGTTTCTATCCTAACTTACCATCCACCCGTCTTTCTTGTACAACCGATCAAAACACTCAGAACGATTCGCAGTGGCGAATAAGCGCGGCGGCGTCGTTCCGGCGACCGCTTTTAGACCGGGTTCACAAGCCGTTTTCGTTTTCCCCTCCCCTTTGGTAGAGCGCGGTGTTCGCGGCGCGCGATACGGCCGCATCTTGCAGGAGCGATTCGTGGCAGTTTCCAAATTGCGCGCGGTCGCGCGTATCGCAAAAGAGGGACGCACCTACATGCCGCTCGGCGCGCAGCTGCGACCTTCGACGCCCTTGTGCCGGCGGTCGTGCAGTGCGGCGCTCGTCCTCGTCATTTTTACGCCGGACACACGCACGGACACGCGCGCGCGGATCGCTCCCGGTTCGTTCTCTCTCGCATCCCCGATTAACGACGCAGATCGCACGCGTTCGACTCTGCTCTCCCTTCGCAGGCGCTTGCACATTTGCGCGCGACCGAAAGAAAAGTGTGTTTCCGTTCCCGTGCCACTTCCGCTGGAGGAGACTGGTGCAGCGTAGCTGTGTCCCCGCGAGTGCACTACGTTCTTTGGCCCTCTGGAAGGGGCAGCAACGATAGAATCGCCTGGCGAAAAGTCGGTGAGTGCCGCGCGAACCAGCACGTGTTAGCTTTCGCGCTTCCTCCTGTTTACCCTCTACCACGGCGACACGGTGTACCTGCGCAATGGCTTTTAAAGGGTTCCATAGGGTGCGCTACAGAGCTGCTGTCAGCCTACTTTCTTCTTTCCAGCGAGGTTTTTTTCCCCGTATTTTTCATGTTGATTTTTCGCCTCGCTAGAGGATCTCGTCGAGGTGAAGTGGTGACAGTGATGGAGCAGGGGTTGTTTGGACGTTTCAAGATATTCGAAATGTGTGCCAGTGATTACGAGAGTGTACTCTCTAACGTACGTTTCTCGTTTTGAGGTTATACGATTTTTGGTGTAGTGATTATTTTCTTGTATTTCTTATGGCATATTAAGAGACGTTTGTGTCAATTTCCAATTACTTTTACGAATGGTTTTATGTTGTAAGTTAGACGATTGCATCGCGAAATAAATGATAAATTGGAATGCTGATTTAGACCACTTTCATAATCTCCGTTATATTCGTTTGTTTTCCTTTTTCACGGATGATTCAATTGTTTTCGTTTCGATCGGTGATAGGATGTATTAAAGTTTTATAAGTGCATACTCGGTGTCGCGTTTATTCCCTTTAATACAGAAATTAGTGTAACGTGTTAGAAAGTGATTGCGTGCAGTGAGGTGTATTAACGAACGTTATCTATTTATATGATTGAAATTGAAAGAAATGATCAGTTCTTTGCTGACGATAGATGAAATGAATTTTAGTATGCATGAAATTTGACAATTTTATTTCTTAATTATTTAACGGTGCAACTTTTACTTTTAATAACGAACGATCGTATTGTACGTAATTACTACGTAACGTTTCTTGGACATTATAACCTCTAAATGATAATCTCACAAATTACACGTATTTTCGTGTGAAATTCCTCTGTCGATTTTATCTAACCTATTTCAAATTTCGTAACCCTAAAAATATTCGTTGAGGCATTTAAACGTTTCAAAAATATGTCACGTTGTGTTTTTATGTAGGAGTAGAACTATAAATAGTGGCATAAGAAATATGCACGTGATCATATCTATGTATACCCTCGGATGCACGCTATTATTTCAATGTTACGCAATAATTATTCTCGTGTACGTCATCGGTGATTGTTATTGAATTTGAATGTTATCGAAATCGATGCATCGAACGAAATTCAATGAACAGGTCTCCGAGGCGGGTGAATCAGTGTTTTTCAAAATGGATGAATCACGCGCTATTCACGTTCACCGCGCGAAATATCTCTTGTCTCTCCTTTGCGGCAAGATACTGTATACTAATTGCATTTTTATTTTTCCCCGTTGACCATTTCTGTATCCCGGTATAAAATAAACAGTGTATTTCCCGCTTGAGAACGGACGAGTTACAATTGGTGGTCGGACCGACAACTTTTGATAACTTGTCTAATCGCTCGGACCATTTGCGTTCAGATCTGTCGTTGTTTCCATCGCAAAAATTACTCGCGATTGTTCCTTCTTGTTCTCGACGAAAATTCTCCTCGAAGTTAATGTGAAAATTTTTGATCGGCAGTTAAACAACGTTCGGTTATGAATTTTCGAAATTTTGGAAGAAATTACGATCGATATATATCGATTTATATTATTTCGATTTCATTATGCTTGGTACATCTTCACGTCGTACGTTTTCTTGCCAAATTCGTTGAGCTGGCGTCGCTGCAATATGTTTTCCACAATTTTAGAATAAATGTGATTTGAACTGATAGTTTCAGAATAAATCTGACTTAAACTGACAATTTCAGAATAAATTTGTAAAGGTGTACTTGGCAATTGAAATAATAATTATTCTGAATTCGTTATTTCTCGATAATTTTCGAGTGTGTAGGTTAGATAAATTTTTGTGTATTTCATTTCTGAGGTGTAAATTGTTGAGAATCGGTTCTAACCTTAGATATAATACACACACGTGCTTTTGATCCACTTTCGAATGCAATCGAAAGAAATCTAATAGATTGCTGCAGATTCGTATCGCGTTACGGATTCTTACAGGTGCGAATACACGTATTGCGTTTCGATACAGGAGCTTTCTCAAATATCGAGCAAATTAACGCAACTGATAGTAGGAAACGTCATGTGGCGTTCTTGTTCGTCTACGCTTCGAACCTCTCTTATCATCTACGATGCAATTTATTCGATACGGACTGTCGTGACGTTAACTTGCAAGCACAATGAATCCAAGTGACTTAGAATATGCAATATTTTCAACTGTTTCAATTGATCAACCTACTCTTCAATTAATCTCTTTAGCATATATCTGTTACTTTTTTTTAATAATCGTCTTTGTAAATTTCTGTTTACAAAGATTGCGCTTGTTTTTAGTAAATTTAACTGTACGTTTGGATAATTTTCCAGTAAATTTTCAATTTTTCATACATTGTAGATTTTTAGTTGAACGTTCTTTTAATTTATCATCTTTCATGCATGGTTACTAATGAATTTCTACACAGTATTTGTTATTACGTTTGTAAGATTGTTATAAATTTGCAAAATTATCGCCATCGAACTTAATTAAATATTGATAATCATATTTAGTATTTCTCATGAACTACACTAACGCTCGTAGGTTTATCAAATTCAAAGTTTTATATCGAATTCTACAGAGTGAAGTTCATCATTTTCGCCCAATTCAGTTTTCTCCTATAGCCGCTTTCAGTTTTGTTGCATTTTAACGGACGCGATTAAAAATTTCGCTTTTCTTTGTTTCTTCCAATTTGCACGTACTTTCAACGTCGTATCATTTTCTGAACATCGTTTGAAAAGCCACTCTTTCTCTAGTAAGTGAAAAAAGGAGAAAACTCGCAATAGTTTTGCAATTTGCATAAATAAAATCTTTCAAAATTTTTGAAATATCGTTGCCTTGTAAAAACGAGTCAGACTAGTGCCGCAGATTCTGTTCAGAATGCAACAAAAGCAGTTATATTGGTAACAAAGATGAATTTTAAGGTTAGATTGCCCTAACCTAACCTTAAAACGTTTTACCAGCCTAACCTTAATTTATAAGACTAAGAATTAGCAAGTGTGTCATTAAATCTACAGTACATTCACTTTTCTCACTTAATACAGTAGTGAAACAGTAAATAACTGACTCTTAGATCCACAATATAAGAAGAAAAACAGTGTAAGTCAATGGGTTAAAATGGATCGTTGACCGTACAGTCGAGAAAGAATTTCTTTTTCAAGTTGCAAAATGACAATGCAACAGGTAAACATATCCAGGTCGAGAGATTGCAGCGCAGAGAAAGAGGATTCCAACGATCGATTTGTTTGCGATCCAAGCGGAAACGCGGAGAATCAATCAATGCGCTCGCACAATCCCGAGGATCCTCCCTCGCATTTACTCTAACGAATCGCTATTTAATGCGTGCCCGTTCGTTGTTCGTTCGCGGTTGTGTGCTGTGCCACGTACCGGCCGCGTGTCGTTGGATGCACATGTGTGTGCACTTCGATCGTTTAAATAACAGAAGATAGCATTGTTACCACTATTCTCGGCCGTTCCGATTAGCCATCGGGATTTTCCTAACTTACAAGATTGCCCCGCTTGTTGCAGATGTTCGCGCGTGTGCCTATTGGTATTTAGATCGATTATTGATAGAAATATGCCGTCTCTATTTTTTTTTCGGTTCTCCTGTTTATTGAACGATACGCTTCTCTTTGTCGTTCCCGTGCCCATTAGCGAAACGTTGTTCTGGCTCATTGTCAGAGTTATCGTGGCTTTTACGCGAGCTTGAAATTATTATAGCGATTTGAATAGACGTTATTGTACGATCCTTTGTGAGAGAAGACGGTTCGATTGTAATTATAGAAATGGTATCGAATGATTTTGCTAGTTGCGCGGTTTTCTTTTCAATTTGTGCTAAATTACGAGTTTCACAGTTCCGCAGGGGTTAGCGTGTTGTTCTATCACCAAGCCGGGACAGATAAAAAAAAAGAAGACGGAAGGAAATTTTTTTTGGAGAAAGTGTACTTTTATTACGGTAATTGAAAAATCATATGAAATTAAAAATAGAACGATTTTGAATTACTCGCGTTGTTTTAAGTGAAAGTATTGAGAATTCTTGACAAAGTTCAGTTTCAATTGCATAAATCGGAGAAGTAAGTTTTATTCAATAATTTCTGTAAGTTAAAGCAAACTGAAGTATGATAATTTTGCAATGTGACGGTAAACGATGGTAATTCCATTTACGCCGACAATGATAATAAATGATTTTAAAGGAATCCTCGAGTGTTACAGATTTTCTATAAGTTTGAGTTTAACTAAGTTTCTTTACCGAATTAAGTGTATTTATTTATGTTTGATTCGACATGGTAAGTAGAGAAAGCGGTGAGAAGAATTTCGCGAATTTCGAATTTCTCGTGGCAAAGTTATCTTTCGATATCGGAAATAATTTACAGCTAGTCGGGGCTCACGTTAAAGCACCTGTTTCATCGCAAATAGCGAACCCTGCGTGAACTTTTCTTGATAATCACGAATTAACCAAGTTTTCTAGAGGATAACAGACATAACGGCTTGATGTTACGGTCCATATAAGGTTTCTCGCACGTGTTTCACAGGATGTGTTCACAGAATGCGCGGCTAATTTACTTCAACGTCGGTGTGCGTAATCTGACCATTCATTAACTCTCTAACGAGAGCCTTATGATAAAAAGGCTCCGATGGTGAAATTACAAATTTTCTCAAAACATCGATTAGGCGTGGGAACGTTCGCCTTAAACTCGTGTATTGTTTGAAAATTTCAGTTAACAAGTGAAATCGGTATTCTTCACATTTTCACGCGCGTGTGTTACATTGTTTACAGTTACGTAACAAGCGTAAATTATATTAACTAACTCGAGTAAACTCATTTTCAAAATTGCATATTATTCTAGATAAATATTGCACGAGCTATTTTCTCAAAAGATTATGTTTTTTTCACCGTCTGAGAAGTGAAACCTTTAGCAGAATATCGATATTTTGTT